AGTAGTTTCTGTAACTTACTATTACAGTACAGGAGTATTATTACAGTATTGCACTGTATTATTATTACCGCATATGAGCTATTATAGTATCTTTATTATTACTGTATATATGCTATTCATCAGGGATCTAAGTTATGTACAAATCTGACCTAAAGACTTCTCAGGAACGTATCTACCCTGGGACCGCCTGTACCTTTATTGTTAATATAAAGTGATACTCATTATAAAAGAAAATTGAAACAATTCAGAAAAGTATAAAGAAAAAAGTAATATTTTAAAGAATATCTTTCTAAACTTCTTTCTACATTTAGATACCTACAGGATATATGCATTAAATTAATCAAAAAAAGGTAGAGCCTGTCATTTTAATGTTCTTATTCTAGTTCTGAAAGTTTTTTGAAGGTCAGAATATTCTGTTCATACTGAACGATCATCTTAAGCTAATGTAGATATTTCTCTTAGTTATTCTTTATTTGTATTTGGTTGTTACAGGTGGAGTTTTGATGAAACAGTGACTCATTTTATCTATCAAGGGCGGCCAAATGACACTAATCGAGAGTATAAATCTGTAAAAGAAAGAGGAATACACATCGTTTCAGAACACTGGCTTTTAGATGTAAGCAATACTTTTCCTTCTCTATTAACTGAAAATGTATGCAAACATTTTTTCAGAGCACAAACTTCAGTTTCAGTGTACGTAAACAAGTTTGATAATCTTGTTTAACTGTGTACATCTCATTTCTTTTCCATCAAAAACTTAAGCGCTTTAGTACTTAAATACTTAACAAATCTTTAGTGGATACTCTTTCTGATTCTCCCAACTCATTTCACTAATTAAAAATGATATGAATAGAAATCTTATAATAATTTGAGGAAAATTAATTTAACATAACAATACAGTTTAGAACTGTGTTTCTTTTTTTTTCTGGGTATACCCTGGTGTATTATTCATAACTTGGCAAAAGCATAGAAATAGAATTAGGTTGTATACTTTGGTGGATATAACATTTAAAAAGTGAGGACAATTTGTCATTTGTATCATGAGAATTTTTCAGTGTAAACTACTTTTTAATACTTTAATTTTGTGAACTTTTGCCATCTTACAATATAATGTATTGGTTGTCCTTATCCTTCTTAACATCTTCTATTCATTAAGATTTTTCAGTTGTTTTAAAGCACACCATTATATTGCAGTGTGCCCAAGAGTATAAACATCTTCCTGAGTCTTTTTATCCACATACTTACAATCCCAAAATGAGCTTGGATATTAGCGCAGTACCAGATGGCAGACTCTGTAATAATCGACTCCTCCCAGCTGCCTCTACAACAAAGAATGATGAGGTAAGTAATATAGATGATACATTTACCCCCTCCAAAGCAGAATTTGTAATCATATATTGCTATGAAAACTTATACAGCAGCTTGGTTTGAGAAATTGTAATTTTTCTCTCTCAATAGCCAGACCATTTGCCTTTAGAAGAAAACGATGTAGGCAACATAACAAGCAATAATAAAGAATCGGCACCACCAAATGGAAATGGCAGGAATGACTGTAAAGGAGGTAAAATATTTTAAGTTTCAAAAATTTTTTATAAATATATATCTTTCATACAGAATGCTTCATTATCAGATGGAAAAATAAAATTATTTTCTATGTTGGTAAAAACATCACTTGAACCTGGGAATTTGAGACCAGCCTGGGCAATATAGCAAGACCCTTTTTTAAAAAAAAAAAAAGGGTCAGAGATTTTTTTTTTTTTTTTTTAATTTTTAAGATGTTTTTATTTTTGTAGAGACTAGGTCTCCCTATGTTGTCTAGGCTGGTCTTGAACTCCTGGCCTCAAGTGATCCTCCTGCCTCAGCCTCCCATAGTGCGGGGATTAGATTATTTTTCCTGGTGAGGAGAATGTTGAAGGGGAAGAATCAGGAGATCATAGCATAATATGATAGTTAAGAGTGGGGGATTTGAAGTCAAACTTGCTCTACCACTTACTGAATATCCTTTATTGGGTATTTAACCATGTCTCTCAATTCTCTTGTCTGTAAATGGATATAGTAATACCAGTGTTTTAGGATTGTTGTGAGGAATGGATGAGATGATGATGCGTAAAATACATAGTCTGTTGTGGGCCATACATGTATAGTGACTGCAAACAACTGGAGGACAGATTGGATACTTTGCCATTTATTAATCTGAAAATACAGGCAATCCCCGGGTTATGGACAACCCTACTTACGGTGCTCCAAGCTTATGAATGGGCTCCCAAGGCTTCCCAGGCTCCCCATAAGGATAATTTATAATTAAATTAAATTAATAATCCAGAGACTACTACTTTCTTCCACATATGTAAACAAACCCACGTGGCATAAGCAGTTCGTTGGTGCAGCGTCTTTACACTAGCAGCTAGTCTCATTGTTTACACAGTCACACACAGTGTCACTTTTGTCTTAACTTTTTTATTCGATTCTGTGACCAGGCCTCCAAAGCAAAAGTCCACTGCAAGTCCAGGTGAGCCTGCAGTGAGTAGAAAAGTGATTACAATGGAAACAAAAGTAGAAATAATTAAGCGTTCAGAGAAAGGCCAGATGCCATTGTTCATTGGGAAAGCATTAGTAGGCTTCAGGGCACTGGACTATTGGAACAGTTATAAAGTGAGAATGGAACTTGTGAAAGGCAGTGCTCCAGTGAAAGCATCAGTTATTACTAAGAAGTGTAGTGGATTAATTATTGAGATGGAAAGGTTATTGATTTGGTTAGAAGATCAAAATAAGCATAACATTCCTATTAGCCTAGGAATTATTAAA